GGTGGTCTCTGAATCTACTTCTATTGATGGTATATAAGTAGCGTATCATGAAAGATCATTTTTCAAGAATTAGTTTTAAAAATTTTCGTCATTATCAATATTGATTTTTATTCATATATTTAATTAGTGATGTTTTTGTATTTGAGATGTTGGCTCGGACTGTATTCAATCAAGTTTTTCTTTTCAAACCGTCGCAGATTTCATTTTCTGCCTTATCTTTAAGTTGTCGTTCGATTACTACGGCTGCTCGAGTAGATAATTATTTATTTTATTGTAACATTAAATTCTTTGTTTATAATATCTAGTTAAAAAAACAATTGAATATTGCATCCACACCTCGACCACACATTGAACGTCCAGCTGGTAGTGATGAACTATATAAACGTTTGTGTGTTGAAGTACGTGGTCATGATCCAGCTGTATTAGAAAGTTATGAGAGATTTGTTCGTCTTGTATCTACACAACTTGATATTCAACTTGCCAATATGTAAATAACATAATTATATTAAAAATAAAAAAAATAATAATAAAATTTTCAAATTATTTTTAGTGAAAATCCTCCTTTTTTTACCGAACGTTGGACTTTACTTCGTTCAAAATTTGCTAAAAAAAAATATTGGCGAGAATATGAAATTCGAACATATTACAAAAAATTTCATGTAAAGTTTTCCTTCTTGTCTAATCTTTTTTTAATTTTAATATTCTTTACAGTTTAAACATTTAACTGGTTCAACAGCTGATACATTTCTTGAATATGTTCAACGAAATTTACCCGAAGGCGTTATGATGATTGTTGAACGGGTAAGAAATATATTTAAGATCTTTTCTTCTCAAAAATCTAACTTCAACAAGATATATGAGATATCGATGAAACGTTTGTATAGATGTTTGGAACATGGAAATCCATTGATAAAGTATAAATATATAACATGTCCATCAAAGTACTTATCTATGTACATCAAATTGTATTCGAGCGAGATAGATCACGATAAATTATGCTACATACAGTTTCTTTTACATTTGTTATACCACTAAACAATATAATGAAGATAGAAGAATAACAAATTAATTTTTTTAAAGTTATTTGTTGCTTACAGGTCTTTTAAAGCCTATTAATTATAGTTAAAATTTTATTAGTAACTCCTACGAA